GAATAACAGCGAACAAAAACTGAAGGTCGGTTATGGCGGCGCCCACGCACAGCTGCCTGAAAGCGTCAATAGATTATGGACTGTCAATATAGTATCGTTATCGTTTTTGCTCTAATGAACAATTACAATGCGGTCCTCTTAAAAAGCCCCTGAACAAAAAATTAAGAACCATCTTGTTGGGACACGCGTTTTCTCTCTCGGGGGTATCGGCTTGGCCCTCACGTTGAGGTGGAGAGAGGGTATGACCATCTCGCTGAGGTAGAAAGAGTGCAAGACCATTCCGTGATGTCATGGACTTTGCGGCCAAAATTTAAAATACATCTCGCGCCGTCAATATTGCTCTAAAATGTTTGTTTTTTTCTCGTAAAATTAATTTCTCGACACGCGTGCCCCAACCAAACTGTCTGAAAAAACATTATTTTTCTTTTCAGTGGTCCTTTAAGTTATGTCTGACTTGGCTCTTGTTCTTTTCCCCTCTGTTCTCAAGCTTCGGCGGTGTCCAGGCTCGCGCAGCTTCTCAATTTGCAGCTTGTTCACGTGTCGGTCTTCAGCAACGCCAGCCTGCTCAGGTGGAGTGCCTTGGGAGTCAGCGGAGGTCTCCTGACGGCCTCCTCATCCGCCTCCCTGAAACGAACCCTGCAAGTACTCAGGGTAACAAACGTTACTTGCTTCCCTTTTGTTCGCGTCCTGGATGGAAAAAAAAAATCTAATTCCAAACAATAAAACGCAGTGGCATAGCCTCCTCTATACTGACACCGTCTATACAGTATAAAGGAGGATATGGCAGGAGGTACAGTGCGCGACACTGTTAGCGCGAACACGACATCGGTGCTTTTTCCTCTTTAACTGGCAGCTAATCTCTCCACAGCCCTCATTTATTTTTATCTCTCTCTTCCCTTTTTACATTGAAACGGTATTGGCACGCACCATGTTTCATTCCTTATTATTGCACCAAATTAGCGATTTTCGCTCCATTACGCATTGTTTCAGCTTAAGTCCAGACGCAGCCGACGCTACGATGTAATGGGATCACTCAAGCAGCGTCAAACGCGTCAGTCCCTAGTGTTTTTTTTTTTTTGTTTTTGTTTTTGTTTTTATGATTGGTTCAGCGATGATAAAACACGAACAGAAACATGAACACTATAATGGTGCGTTTTTGACAATATATTGTTTGATTTTACAATGTCCAGCAGTGTACACTATAATACCACGCAATTTACTTTCTTAGAACTGACGGTACTGAAGAAACCCACAGAAGCCAAGATTGCTTGATCACATGTGTATGTATATGAGACGCGAGTTGGATATGCGCCACACTTTTTGCGCAACATTAACCACGCAAATTTCGTGCCTCTTGTACATTCATATAGGCAGTCGTGTCACTGTTCATTGAAAGTTAACTGTTAAAACAAAATTTGTATTAAAAAAAACAACAAAAAAAAACTATCTTTTTTTTAATTGAGAGGCCCGCAACGTTTGGGCTTGGTAAGAAGTAGTCCTTTAATTTTCTAGATTTCTTTTCCACCCAACCAGGCTTATTCTATTTCCTCTCGGGGTTCAGATTATGATGTCTGCTAACCAGCTCGCCTGTACACTTTCGCCCCTTGCGATTTCGTCAACTATATTTACGCTTTAGGCTTGTAGAAAATCGTAAAGCATGTTACTACCAAGTAGCGATCGCCGTGATTCCTTGTATCGTGTGCTTGTTCATAACGAGAAAAAATACAGGGCCGTTCGAAACACATTTTTGCATACATTGAATTATTGATTTGTTTTGACTTCATATGGGTGACTCATCTGATAATTAACCTTGCGTTAGCATGCTTAAAATCCGATTTTCATTGATAAGCAAGCACGCAAAAAATGCTGGGAACGCAAAAGCAACTAATCGAAAAGGATGATTGTCAAGGGTTTGTTTGAGATTAATATGCAATAAAAACATTTATAGGTGACATATGTTAATTCAATTCGATGCGTAGAGGAAACGATACCCAGAAAACAAGCGCTTCAATTATTGTGTTTAAGCTGCAATACAACAATTTTAAGTTCTTTTTTTTTTTTTTTTTTTACTTTACATGAACTTACAAGTATAAATTTACCTGTAAGTATATCTTATAGACGCTTTGCACGCGCGCCAGATTGAGCCGCCATAGCTGCCCTTCTCTTGTCTTACCGAGATGCCGAGCCACTGAAGCAGGCGTTGACGGGTCTTCACAAGGGCCTATGCTGGGCACAAGAACAGAGTAACATCTAAAATGGCAATAACCTGTCCTGCTGTGGTAATGATGAAGTGAAGCGAACGGAATAAGAGGGAACAAAAACTGAAGGTCAGTTATGGCGGCGCCCATGCACAGCTGCTGTAAAGCGTCTATACTAAAGTGTAAATACTATTCGCGGCGAAAAGTTTGGGTATCGCCACTTGGTGATATTTTTACAACCCAGAGTGAGGATACTTCAACTTACTCTGCTGATGCATGCACGTGCAATGTCAAGCTTCTATGCACTAGAAAATTGCAAAGCATTACCGCGAAAGTAGCACGTGCACTACCCACAGTGAGTAAAAACAGAAGTGCTTCTAGTGGGCTGCTCACCGCGAATACTCGCACACAACAGCACTGACCAAGAAATTTCTTTGTTGCGGTGTAATTTCAAGGATAAAAGCGAGCGCTTTCTTTCGATTTCTCGTCTGCAAAGCTTGATAACGTAGCTCGGAGGTAGCGCCAGTAGGATATGTGTTGGCATGGTCCTCCGAGTCACCATATTTCAATGCGACTATACCCCATTTCATCTTATGATGTACCGCAGGAAAGCGCGAGCTCCTTGCTCTGCGGCACATCTCCGCGGCACGAGCTCTCGTGCATTCAGGGCAGCTGCCAACGCTATTAGCTCGCGCTTCTAGCCTTCGCTGCGGTACAACATAAGGTGAAACGCAGTATAAAATAGGTTAAACCCGAGCATTGTGGGAATATTTGATATGGGCTCGTGATAATTAATAGCTCGACAAGCATTCTGGTAGTGGCTCGTGTACAATCGCTGCAAGGACAAATATAGCCGAACCGTAACGATGTCTGTAACTCAGCGCGTGCTTTGCCAACTCCCTCGTTCCAGATCACGTGGCCGCCTCGTACTTAATATACAACCATAGCTTCCTCTATACTCGCAAAGCCTGGCAATTCGATGACGGAACCATAGAGTGCCCGCGGTCGCAGATTTGGAGCGCGAGGATCTGGTAGCACAGAGCGTTTCTCGGGGAGTCAGGTATTGAGCGCACAGTTTTAGCAGCGGCGAGGACCGGAAACATGGTTTTCAAACTTAACGAGAGAAAAAAAACAGTGGTAGCGCGAGGAACGCGAGCAGCACGAGTGGACATTCCATCGCTCGGGACAGGTGTATTTCGGCGTCTCGCCGCAGCGGGGCGCCCGTTACATGACTCTTGTAAGCTCTTGTGTGCCGCTCTATACCTTTTCACTTTCGGCGGCCGCGTCTCGTGGCGATCTGCCAGGCTTTGTCAGTATAGAGGAGGCCATGGCACAACTCTATCAGAGCTGCTGGCGCGAGCATGACGTTGGGTTTGATCTCGCAGACCATTTGCATGTGTTCTCGCACAAACGAAACCATAAATGAATCCACGTGCTCACACCAGTATCTTTGACAGCGTTGTATACCAACGTTGTTGTATACCGCGTATGGAACGGGGCATAGCTTCAAATTAAAAAAAGAAATAAATAAACGCTGCTTCCTTTTTTTTTGTGATTAATATTGCGCTGGAAGACAAACTAAGGCGTGATTTATAAATTATAAAAAAAAAAATCAGAAATTCCATTAAAAAAAAAAAAAACTGGAACAGGGGGCTGCGACGCTTTGAGTCCCCAAAGCAGCTTAGGGGCATCGCACTGCGTAAGCGAACAAGTTTTATGCGCATGGGCACTGCAAAGCACAAAGCTGTTCAAAAACTCCCGAAGCGTTGGGGCCTTTTATTTTAAAGCTCCCCACGATGAGTGGACTTTGCTGCGCAACGTACAACTTTAAATCCTTGCACCCGGCCCCTCGAAGCCCCTCTCACGTACTGGCCACACATCGCATACTAGCGACGCGGTCATCGCTGTGGACATGATGACAACACAATCATCTGCGAACACGCCTCAAGCGCCCGTTCGAACCATGTCTACTTCACACATACAGTTTGTCCTTTGAAACATAGGCTAGGTGGCGCAAGCTACCATCCGTTACAAAGAATATTGTCATTAACATCCATCCGTACAAACACCCATCCGTGCAAACTCCATCCGTACATCCATCCATACAAACAGCGCATGCGCTACCACAGAAAACTCCCATATGCGCAGTGCGCACCGGAGGGCCCATCGTAACGTATCGGATGGGCAAACAAGGTTCCCTAAAACCCTCTGGCGTCTGCAAACTGTCTTTCGTCTGATGGGTTAGCGGTGTAACTGCGGCCTTAAGCTACGCGGAGCGCAAGTTCGTCTGCTTCTTTTGCAGAGGTTGTGGCGACGCCAGAACGCAGAGCTCCGATTGGCTCTGAAGGGAGGGTAGTGGGTAGACCTCAAGGCAGCTTAATTTAAACTTGCGGCTGCTTACGACCGTGTTTGCCTTTCAAACCTCTTGTGATCTCCTGTACGACGAAATTAACACACTGGCGGCATCTATCAGATAGCCGCGGAACACTTGCAGTTACCGTATATTTCCTGCTTTTTCGCGCACCATTCTTTTTTTTTTTTTAAACAAAATATATTTTGATTTTGTTATAAACAACCATTTCTCGTAGATAGTATACGTATGCATTTGATCTCGCAAATACCGCAAAACAATTCGCTCTAGTGAAATGCAGTTCCAGAGTCGCCTGATAGATGGCGCCAGCGTGTGTTCTCTCCGTCGTAAGAGGTCGCAAAGTACTCGGTCCTAAGCAAACGCAAGTGTGTAAACGAGCATTTTAAGGTTTCTGACAGATATCCTGACTTTCTTTTAATGGTCATTTATAGGTCAATTTCCATACTGGACACAGCCATAAGTGGATTTTGGCCGTTCCCGCCGATGAACACCGCCGGGTGGACTTTGAGGGAGAAGACGGGGAGCAACTCGCGGCCGTTTTCGATAACGAAACCCCTTTACTCGAGGTGTGCGCTGGCCAGGTAAGTCAAAGGCTGCGACGTTCCTTATGCCCTTTAACCGTTAACCTCTTCAAAAAACAGTGTGCGATAGCTAAACACGTGCATCAATATGCTAACCTTCCGGGTCATCAAATGTGATTGTTTGTGTACGGACATGTACCCAGAAAAATAAGACTAATTATTTTTTCTTTAGTCATTCCGTTTTAATGGTTCAGTGTCATCTATCTGAAGCAAGTTGCCTTATTTCCCGGCATGCTATGTAAGCTTTTCAATTTCGTAATTTCTAATAAGTCAAGATATAATTTTCGTTTATGACTCCTTTACACGACTATGAGAAAAACGTGTCTTTAAAAATAATAGATGTCCAGGATATCTAATTTTTGGTTGTAAATGCCCGTGTTTAATTAAATATTAAAGCTTGAAAAATCTATAACCTTTTTTTTTCAAAACGAACATGAATATCACTTCTTTGCTCTAATAATATATATGTGTGTGTGTGTGTGTGTGTGTGTGTGCGTGCGTGCGTGCGTGCGTGCGTGCTTGTGTGCGTGCGTGCGTGCGTGCGTGTGTGCGTGCGTGTGCGCGTGCGCGCGCGCGTGTGTGTGTGTGTGTGTGTGTGTGTGTAAACGGAGAGAAAAGGAAGTGATTATTGAATTTACTGAATTAGGGTCACGGAAAGAGAAAAGGCCCGCCCCTGGTCCAATTTTTCACCAGCTTTCATTCCTTCTCTCTTTTTCCGACTTCAATAAATTCAACAAATTTAATAATCACCCTCTCCCTTCTTCGTTCACATTATTACTACGGCTGCACTTGTCAATCTCCCTCACCCCCATTATATATACGGTACGGCCTGTCCCCATGGGAAGACGGGACCTCTCCAAAATTGGCAAGCTGAAATGACGCGCCCCGTCACTGCCGCAACTCGGAGATAGTGCAAGTCTTAACGGCTGGTTTAAGGACAATGTATCGGGCACTGGGTGCCTGCAGTTGACACATGCATGCCACTTCTATACTCCGCGATAATATACTGTTGCGCGGCAAGGAACCGTACGACCATAGATATCTCCCTGGCTCTGTTTCCGATGCAGAATAATCAAAGCGCTTCCAAAGGACTGGATCGCGCGAGCAACTTGATGCTCTACTCTCTGTGGTCAACCGGAACCGGAAGTACTTGCTGGCGCCAAGCGCGATCCCCCAACATCTTCTCCAAGTACCCGCAAAATTTCTCAGGAAGAACTCTTCGGGTTGTCTCTCTGGGCGTGAGTGAAACGATTGATCTATTAACAGAGCCTTTATTGAGCTTTACTAAGATTAAATTAGACTTTTCGGAACTTTCTGGGGACATATTTATCGAGATCAGGGGGCCGAGAGAGCACCAAAGATATTACCAACTTGAGAAAACCTTAGATTTTTTTAATTCTAAAGTTCTATTTTTATTTCTATGGCTCCTGCTTACGATTGTTAATTTATGTATTGATTGATTTTTAAAGATATTTTCAGTGGATTCATTAAAAATAAACGGAGCCCGAAACTCTTAATTATGACGTGTACAATCGTGGACGATATGAACGATCTCAGGCGAGCGCGTGGCTTAGAGTGCCTGCCACGGTATCTATCAGAAGGAAGCTCAGCCATTATCGAGGCTTTGGCGGCTGCATTTTTGTCGTCACGCCCCAGCTTGATCAGCGGTCGCTGGGTTTATGCTGAGTTTCTCGAATCTAGAGATGTTCCGCGACTAAAATATAAATAAAGCGTGGTTGAATCCTACGGACTGCCAGGTTGAGCTATCAGTGTTTTGGCGTTCGTTAAAATGTTCGTGGGGTAAAACAAATAAGCTGTTTTTAGTCGATTTAAACCAGCACTACTATACTATCAATGTTGACTCAGCAATTGCTTGTAATGCCGACTAAGAGCGGAGCAACGACGAAAATTGAACAGTCACTGAAATGCCGCTCGTTCACACAATAACCTCGATCATAACTCAGCTTCCTTTTGTTGATAGCACTGGAGGTTTCGAAGCAACGTACTCGCCTTTTTTCTTTTTTTTTTATTTATTTATATTGTCCGCGACGGTACTTATTGCAAGAATGCTTGATTAGGAAGAATATTATCGGATGTCAGCAAGTAAAGCTGGACGAGTGGAGGTTCTGATTCAGCTGCGCCATATATATTTCTAAAACTTTGAGGTCTAGTGCCATATATATATATATATATATATAGTTTGCACGAAGTGTCGAACTACTAACTGGCAACGCGCAAACATACTCAGAAGCTTGAAACTAAAGAAAAAGTTCGCGTGAGCTAGTTTCGTACTGTCACTGCAGTGGTTTAGATATCAAGCTACTATGTTCTTTATCATTTCAAACAAGTTCAAGTTCAAGTTAAAATTTATTACTTTCAGAGACATAGCGAGGGATGTAATTCATGAGGGGATGGAGGGGGGGGGGGGGGGGGGGGTCACACGACATTTTGAATGCCCTGAATACATAGCAATATATATATCTATAATAAAATCACTTGTAAAAAGAAAAACAGGATTCGCACGAACTAACAACCCAAGTAGACAATAGTAGAACTGACGGGGGATATACAAAAAGAAAATGTATGAAGTTTGTGATAGATTGGAACAGGTAATAACATACAAAACAAAGCATTCAAATTATAAGAAAGCCTACATTTACAAAAGCAAGTATCACTATTCTAGAAGCACATTTTCCATACGCCCATGGCCCTGCCAAGGAATCTCATCTTTCTGCAAACCTATTGTACTAGGGCCTCGCTTATTTAATAAAACAAAATAAGCCCTGACTTTGTGTCACGTTACGCCGGGTTTCTCAGTATAATCGAGGCAAGGTATGCATTTTTAAGTAAGATTTGTGCACGCACCAATGCCGCTTTATCGACAGGCATATCCAGTACGCAAGCCCCCGTCGTCCAACCAGACATGGAGATGGAGCGGCTACACCTTCGACGTTGTCAACATTCTCGCAGATTCCCTCAATTTCACGTGAGTCCTTACCGCGCAGCCTGCGAGCGACCTTCATGTTTCGTTCTAAGTTCGTGCCAAACGTCTACCTCTCTCCTTCAACTTATTTCGTAGGTATAAAAAAATTACGCCTGAAAAAAAACACGCAGTAGTACAGTGTGCAATGGTGTTGAAATATATTTCAGAGCACGAAGTGGCGTGTGCATGTGGCACATGTACACGTGCCACATCTGTACATGTGAACATATGTACACATGTGGCAGGTGTGTACATATGTACAAACGTGCCACATGTCTGTGAACACTCTTAGTGCGAACTTGCCATTTTTTTTCGCGGTCTACTTCCTAAGGGTATTGGCAGACTCTACATTTTACGACTCGCATTAGTGCCATAAATGAGGACTTCGCTCCACAGTACTAGTTTTGATGACAGCCTCTCGATTTCAATAAGAGAAAAGCAGAGGAAACAGACGATCGCTTGCTTCTGTTAACAATGTCGCGCAGTGTACCTGGTAGTGTATACCTTTTATAGTATATGTGATAGTTATTATTTGGAGGCAAGCATAGGATTGCCCGCTGCTTGTGCGTATTATCATTCTCAGGTACATCGCACGTGACCCGCTGCACCACTACTACTTTGCTCGGCTCGACGATGGCACTCCGGTTGGAGTCATCGGGGACGTAGCTCGAAAGGTGAATCAACAAGTTTTGAAAAAGATTTGATGGCAATACCAGGTGACCTGGTAGAACGTGCGTATACTGTATGAAGGATAATGAAATGAAATATCACCGTCGTTTCGTATTTCGCTTAGTGCAAATTTGAGTATGTTGATATTTTGAAAAAAAAAAAAACATGTTTTTTATTACCGAATTGGGACACATTTATATATCTACATAAGGTGGTCGCTCTAAAACGTCGCTGGAAGATGGTTAGGTCTTGTGTCTTGTCAGAGCATCGAACGGGTGTAATGAAGACAGCTGTGGAGGCAGTAAAAAAGGTGTTTGGTTTTGACCCAGAAGCGATTGGCGATGCTTAGTTAAGACTACATTCACTTCGTCATATAAGCGTTTCTGTTCATGACTAGTGACGCCTTATCATACACAACAAACTATTTGCCGTTCGAACACGTTCACCATGAAGTGCTGTCCATAGACCGACGCTGCGAACGGCGGCCCCTCCCAGGTGGCTGACATGGCGGTGGGCGACCTGTCTTGGACCCCGGAACGGGACCGTGTGGTGGACTTCAGCAGGTTCATCCTCGACGACGCCGTCACCTTCGTGTACTGGAGGGGCACCCGACCTCCAGGGCTCTGGACCGTCTTCGCGCCCTTCCCACCAGCGGTCTCGGAATATTCCACTCCTTTGTGCCCTTGCACGCTGATTAGGGGTCACTTCCCTTTCCGACGAGGATAGTCCGCACAACAAGGACTATCCTCTTGGCTTTCTCTTGTCCGAACACCGACGAAAGAACGCCAACGGGCAGACAGTCCGCACAACTATCTGCCCGTTCACACACTTGCGACTACGACGAGAGGAAAAAAACACTGGCGCCATCTATTGAATAGCTGTGGAACACTTGGAATGTTAGTATAGTATCCATCATTTCGCGCATCCTTGTTTATTTTCTTGCTTGTAAAACTTTTGACAATGTTATAAACGACAATTTCTTATATATAATGTGAACATTTGACCTCGCAAATACTGCAAAACTTTCGTCTTAGTAAAATGCATTTACCGGGTCACCTCTTCGATGCCGCCAGCGTTCCAGTGTATTCTTTCGTTGTAAGATATCAGAAGAACTCGGTCGTAAGCAAACGCAAGTGTGAACGGGCCTTTAGGGTGGTGCCAACCTCTTCTCTGTCACAAAAACTCTCAGCAGGGAAACGGGGAAAAAAATGCGCAGACATAATTGCAGTGGAGTACTATGTCCTCTTCCACGTGATTCAGGAACTTAGGGTAAAGCAGAGAAACAAGATCGCGTCATAAAGTTTCGTGATGGGGCACCGACGGACGCGTTCACGCAGATTAAGACAATCAATTCGTGGCCGATCCTTCTTGATTTCTTCAGCACTTAGATGTTTGTAATTAAATGAAGAAGACCCCTTTGTGCGAATAATATTCGTTACTACACCTTGAAATTACTTTGCAGGAG